CGGTGAATATTAACCGTTATAAATCTGCAGAAACAATGAGAGTAATCCCAGAATAATGCCTCCTATATTGTCACAAAGAACCGTTTATTTTCTATAGTCAATCGATTTGAGGGTTGAACTGCTTTATTTTTCCACATAGTCGTAATTTTCGCCGATACCCTTTTGCTGACGCTGTGGGAGTTTTACTATGCCCATGTCATACCAGCATGCAGCCATGTGACACTTTCACAAAGGAAGCTGGACAGGTCAACCCGGCCAATTGGGTGAAAATGGAGTTGGGGGTGGGGGAGGGACTCCATTGTGCTATGCGTCTCTGACGCTATGGATAAGAGCGCTGATAACATAACACGCTATCGACCTTTCTAGTATACAGTTTATCACAAGGGGCTTAGATAAGAGACTAGTAAAACGGCCACAGCGTTTCATTGACCAAAGTGGTGATCATGTGAAAAAATGATGCAATCTTTGACCTTTCACATGATCTAAGTATCACATGTAGAAGATAAACGATTCTATGTAGGCTCTAAATATTGAAGAATTCCATTTTTTGGGACTGCCCTCGTACTATAGGCGACCGCTGCGCGACAGCGCTCTTTATTATCACGTACTGCGGCTCGGCCCTTTACGGTCACTGTGTGAATGCTATGTATGGCAATAGTAGAGAGCAGGGTGAATATCGGTTGAGGATTCCTCAACGGCACGTCGAGGATTTTCGCCTGATCAGTTACGTTCTCCCGCGCGGACATTCACACTCGCCATGCGCGAGCCGTCTGTGCTCTCCGCGCGTATGTTCACTCTCGCACAGGACAGAGCCATGGTCGAGGAATTTCCTCGACCGTTATTCACCCTGGTAGTGAGCCATGAAATCCTGAGAAAATGGCTCAAGCAAGCAGCATTAGCCTTCCCACTGAATAGGAATGTGGAAGAGTAGGAAGATGACTATTGTTATGTACCTACGCCCACTCCGTTTCCACTGAAGAGGCCTTGTCACACTCTACGTTCAGTGAACCCAGGCCTCGTCAAGTGGCACATGTGAGATAAAAATATCAATACATCAGGTTAGGGAGCAATGTGCTTTAGGGGGGCAGTCCGTTACATTGCGTCACTCTTACGGAAACGCTCACTTTTGAAATCAAACCTTGGTGGAGAAGAGGGACGCAACGAACAAGCCGGCCGGGGTGCGTATGTAATTTCCATTCTCTCCGAAGTCATTGCCTCTCCGCAGGCTTAGTCCTAGGAGTCTTCCTACAGAAAGCCTTCTCCCGAGGCACTTAGCGCTAAGTACCTTAGGGGTTGGCATTGTAGAAAGATCCCGATGTTCTTTGGTGTTCTCGATGCAGATGGCAAGTGAAGCTGCGCTCCAAGTCTTCGGAGAGGACGGGGCCCCGGTCGGAAACAAATTGTATCTATTAATTGTGTATGTGCATCTATTCATACACACCATCACAAAAAATGGTCGATCAAGTCTATTATCATATAGCAATGCTCCTATCTCTCTCAAGGCTAGTCGAGAGCCCGCCACTGTCCCTGCAGAGCTGATTCGAACCGCTATCAACACAGAAAAGTTGCCCAATTTCAGAAACGGTTGTTAAGTGGCACAGTTTGGAATCAGTGGTCGTGGATTACCCTGCAAAAGCGACGCCAAACACTGAATGCAAGTGAAAGATCTGAGAGCGCTGAGTTTTTTCCGACTTCGTGGCCTAGAGCCTTGCCCTGGAACGGTTTTTCTGCAGAACTTTCTCCCACAGTTCCATGCGTCTCTTCTGATAGTCGTCGGCCATCACAGGCGTAGGCAACTGGATATGTAAGTGACGGTATGGCTGTTTAGGATCGTAAAGCTCCCACAGAGGCTCCTTTTCTGAAGACGATAGATCACCACTGGGATTCCTGCGAGGAGAGAAACGTTTCTACAAGTGCGCTTGCTGACCAAAAGACCACATCCGCTGCAGGCAGAACAGAAACAATTACCCGTATTTGGCAAAGTTAGTGAAGTAAGCCGTCATGATCTCGAGCATCTTCAGGATCATCGTGATTTGGTTTGAACTTCGAGAATATTCCTTTCCCGAGCACGTACCGCACTTCGGAGCAGTGAGTGGACCCTGAACAGCAGCTCCGTTTTCTAAGACGCTGCTAAGATTGTACAGGACTTGTATGGAGAAACTTGCCTTTATATGGAAGCATAAACCGTAGGAAACCGAAGCCGTCCGGGTTGAAATAGTCGAAGCAGTAAAAGTACACGTCGTTACCGTACTCGGACATTTTCCGGGCGTACTGCAGCACTCCAACGTTGATCGCATAATCGCCCATAAGCTAAACAGCTTACAAATTACCATTCAGCTTGTTAGCTCAACAGGCTTCCCCAAAAATTATGTGCATCTTGCCGGGGATGCGAATAAAATGAAGTTCCTTGCAGACCCCCATAAACAGTTCAAAACTTGAGCTTCACCCTATGAGATCAACATAGGAATCGCTCCTGACCCTAGGAATCATATCATGGGAGAATTCTACATTGGGGGGGGGGGGGTGAAATAAGCAAAATTAGTGAAGTGTAGCTAAAAGCTGGAGTAGGAGCATTCAAATCTAAGTGACTTCAACTGTGATGACAAATTGTCGGTTTTAATGGTTAGAACGAGACTGCCGGGAGGTGTCGCTATCCGGCTTCTGAACTGGTGGATCCAGCTCCCCCCCGCAGCTCAAGCCCTGCCGTCTTTTTATGAAGTCATTTGAAGCTTAAAAAGCACTTCTATCCGATCTTGCCGTCTGGAAGTCCCTTTTTGGGATGCGGCACGCATTCTACTTCCATTTGTACATTCGTAGTGGCGTTTGAATGCGATGTGGCCTATACAATGACTTGCGGGGGCCAGCCGATGTACAAGTCAGTGTTTTTATCCTCCCAGACAAGTCTGGTACCAATTAACCGACCCCGGAGGGATGGAAGGCTTGGTTGGCCCGGGCGACTCACGACCCAGGATTTGATCCCCGGACCGCTCGCGTGGTAAGCGTGCCACTTGCCACTACACCACTTCCGCCCTTAAAGTCAGATACCGTCATATTTGAACCCTACCACTCTCATACTGTTATTATCAAACATGCTTTCAGAGGTTCCTATACCTTTGGTCTGTCTTGAGTTTAGCGCAATGACCGTGGGGTCGAATTTGTGATCTCTAAAAGGAGTGGTAGACTGGAAATCACCTGAACAAGTCGCTCGGTGATCCTTGCTTTATCTTTTGAAACCACGTCTTTCATATAAAACTCAAAGACATCCCGTCGGACATCCTCCACATCATTATCGTAATCGCATTCCTTGATGACACTCTGACAGAACCGTCGGAAGCCTTCTTTCGTCTTGGAGAAACCACCGAGGGCAACTGAAATATGATATGAGCAATGCTCAAAGGAGTAAGGAAGGGAAACTCTGACGGCCATACCGAAGAAAAGTCCTTCATGTTGGGTAGTGCCGGTCATGATGGATTTTCGTGGACTTTCTCGTCTCAGCTCGCTCATCGGTTTCGGGAAGAAATCGCCATCGAAATTCGGTACGAACAGCAGATTACCAGATATGGAAGGATGGAATCCCTAAAAGACAGTTGCTTGTGAGCATTGAAATCGCTGACGTGCTGTATATCTCACCTTTTTGGGATGTACCCCCATTCCCAGTCGAGACGCCGGTTGGGCTGCCATGAAACGCATCAGGTCTTCGGAATCGTCTTCTGAAAAGGTTTCAGTCTTAAGGGCGATTTCCAAAGAGTAACTGGTAATCGTACCTGCCCCAGTCCAACCCAAGTACCTCGCGTACTCTCGACCCAGAGTGGCTTGCGCTTCGCTGGTGCGCATCGCAAAGTCACACTCACCGCAACCGGCCATCGGAATCACGCGATGGAATAGACCTGCAGCATGACCTTATTGAGCACCAAACAATAAGCTGAAGGACATTTTAACGACAAGAACCTCTCGAATGAGGGCTGATAGCGAGCAGATCCGCACTGGCTCCTCCGGCGCTCTGACCGAACACGGTCACGTTCCCTGGATCACCGCCGAATGCCTCAATATTGTCGTGAACCCAGCGCAAAGCAAGCGTTTGGTCCCAGAGACCCATATTACCTGGAATAATTGGTCTCAAATAAGTACCAAAAAATCGTCTAGAAGAGCTCCTCAATACCTTTGCAAACGTCATCGCCTGTGGTGAAGAACCCAAGTGGACCAAGGCGATAATTGATAGAGACCACGACGACGTCTTTAGCGCAGAGATTTCTGGAAACAAAGCAACTTTCGGGTGAAATCCTGGCCTTTTTGTACAGCCGTTTTACCTGGCTATGGTTGTGTCACCGTAATTGCTGCTCGAATGGATGGAAAATCCTCCGCCATGAATCCACACCATGACTGCGAATTTCTGATTCTGAAGAGTTGTGGTGCCATAAATTAGTAATCTTGACAGTGTCAGAGATTTACAAACTTATTCAAGGCAATAATCACGGTGACTGGAGGGTAATGCGCCTTTGATGGCGTCATTGAGCTTTATTGATGAGGCGGTCCCAAACCACACCTCAGCGCACAATGACATTCAGTGACGTCATTAAAACCGTACCGCCCTCTATGACCATGGCGCCTGCATTAACCACCGAAACATTAAATCCGATCCCACCTTGTGAGAGACATTCCGAGAGGAAAATAAAACTCCAAGCCAGAAAGGCGAACCCCGAGAACCCGACTTCTTATAGGTAGTTTTGCACCCGTTACTACCAGTCAGAAATCCAATACATTTTCTCTGAACCGAAAATTAAGGCCAGTCGATTTAAATTTGAAATCCCCACCACGGTATTTCATGAATCTCAAAGAACAAACTAACCATAACCAAACAAAATAACTAATTCAACAGCTCTTTAATACACTCACATTCTCTTGAGTCCATCGTGGAGTGAAAACATTAAGCGTCAAACAACGTGCTCGCTTGACCACGACCAATCAATATTTCAGGTTACTGGAGTATTGAATATTAAAGCTCTACATACCAACACTCACATTCGGAATGAAAAAACATTGTCTCTGAAAGACACTGACTATCGATTAAGCTTCATAAACCTCCCCTTTTTGAATTGCTACTGTTATACTAATAGGATCATTCAATTGATAATTAGAAAAATTATTGGTGCGAAGACGGAGAGACTGCTAAACAGGCCCATGTAAGTGCGACTAGACTACACCCAACAAAGAGACAACGCCAGAGAGAAGCAGCAGGAATGTTTCCGTGGCGCTGCCCCGAGGATGCCCTCGCCTCCGGTAGGGCCTTATCCGAATCACAAGTTTGATTGGGCTACTTCACGGGTGAGTCCCCCCCCCCACGTGATGCTCTCAAAATCTATGGAACGTACTCATCGATATGCACAACATTCTTTCTTTATCATCGCCGTACTTCTTTACATGCCGGAGTGAGACTTGCGATTCAGAGAAAGTCGCCTACCTGAGCGAAATACTCGTCGGTTTGTGGACATCGTGGCCCGAAGTGAACACAATCCAACTCCTCTGTCCAAGGTTTAACTGGCTGTGGTTTCTAAAAATTGTATATATGCGAAAAACTGCCCTCCACATAAATTCAGCAGCCCACTAAGTAATACCTTATATCTGAGATCTCCCACTGGCGGTTCAGCGTATGGAATTCCCAGGTACAGATCGACGGTCCGGCCATCATGTAGGAGATATTCTCGCCCACGAACTGGACCCGATGAAGTTTTCACCAGAGGCGAGCGACCCGTGGACACGACAGCGCCCATGCGACGACGCTGCAAAACCAGCAATAAGCCGATAATCGAGCTAATTCACTAAAAATGAGAGCAATCTAGGAGAGCGATTTTGGCCGGCAAGAACAATCTCTGAAAAAATAACAACAACTCTGCGATATAGAATGCTTAAGAATAAATTGGCGTGTGCAGGCACGGTGTCGTGAAGTTGTTGAAAAATTGCGCCATGACTTTGGTATCTATCCGAGATATTACGTTCTCTGGGAAGTACATGCGAAAAGGGGAGTCCGGAAGTCTTTTTACAAATAATTCCAAGTTCAGTCTTGCAACACGACATCCAGAACAAGCAGAACACATTATTTGTTTTATTCTGTGACAGTAGTCATAAATAAATACAT